AAGATTATGTGTACAAGGTTAGCTTTATAGAACGTACATGATCGCTTAACTCTGTTTTTTAATAATCATGTCGCATGTGAAACGCAGGAGACATTTTAGTTTGCCCATTTCTTGTTTACCGACATTTTGTCTGGAATGCGATACAGACAAAGATTAAACATTACTGATAACAACCAAGATGCTCGAACCAGGAAGGCTTGGATATTTTAAACTTCGTAAATAACATTCTTTTCAAGCGTAGACTTTATTCGAGTGTAATAATACGCAACAACAATTCGTTTACAGCATTGGTTTTATTGAAGTTTTTAATGCTTTTCGGCTTCACAGTGAATTATTTTAGCGTCATATTTGAAATAGCGCGCTCGATACAAGATGTCGGACGGGAAAATTGGGGTCTGTAAAAATGTTTGTTGGTTCAGTCAGGCAATGTGTGGACCAAAACATCGCCCACTATTTGAAACATCGCCCATGGGCGGGGTTTAGGATGGGTGGGGTATCAGCTGAATCCAGTAGTTGTTTTCGAAAGATAAACTGAGCATCGAAAAAGCATTTAACAGTTTTTTCGGTGATAACAGCTCATTGTCGAAAACATGTGACACGCGGACGTATTCATAAGAAGTATTGACAAAAGTTGTCGCAAGAACAAAAGCAGTTTCACTGCGTGTTTGACATCCTAACACTACTGAACAATAAAGAGATATGAATATTTTTAGGCACGTTGTCGAAACAAATGAATAGGATTAGGAACAATGTACCAGTTGGTTGAAACAAAGTCAGTCACGGTCTTGTTGCATTGGGGGTGCGGTTAGTAATAGGTACTTTTCATGTTTTCAATTTTTGTTGAGAACTCTTCAACACTGAAGCCGAAATCGGGGGTGCGGTTACTATAAGGTATGCGGTTTATAATAGAATTTTAACGGTATATGCTATATAATAACAATTAATAATACTGAATACTATCAAATACTTTATTTTAAGCTGGAATTAATTTTCACTGAAGTGAAATCTATTTTCAGTGAAAATAGCGAAGAAAATAGCGAAAATAAATTCCAAGCGGAAATAAAGTATTCTACAGTACTCACCTGGTATGGATCAAACCATTCTCATCTGGTCTGGGAGGGGAGATGGCTCCAGTTGGAGGAGATGGCGTTGGCACAGGACTCGGTGGAGTGTGCACAGATGTTGCCATTGTGTTAATACTGAGCGGGCTAGTTGTTGCCATAGAAACCAGATCCCCGTTGATGACTTTATCAGGTGGTGTTAAAGAACCAGATAAAATGTGACTGTGGTCTGAAATGAAGCGAAAAAACAAACAATAATTACTTGATATAATCCTCATTAAAATAGTCAAAAGCAAGTCACCTATACTTTCATTATTTTCTATTATAACACGTCATTGCCCATATTTGGACATAGAATTACACCATTGATATACAGACAATAGAGAATTACACAACTGCAATCCATCAACCCAGATTCTGCATAACATTTTCATTTTAAATTCAGTAACGAATTATTTCGACACATTAATACAAATTAACTAAAACACACTTCACATGATGTGATGTGTGTATCTACTGTGTTGTGTTCATGCATGTTCCAAGGCCAGAGTTCAACATAATGCACCTGCATGTGTACTTGGGTTTCAGGTGTAAAACACGACAAAATAGACAATACAATATAACTGTGGAATAAAGACCTGACATACTGATTATATAAAATAATAGCAATAAACTCTCCAGTATTGATTCTACGCTTGATAGGGTGATATGCCCAGTTACAAATGAACACACCAGACTTGTATAGCCCCACAAATTTTATTTTGCATTATGAACATCAAAGCATTAGTTAATAAGAACTGCTAAAATTCATGCAAATCCATAAGGACAAACTGTCATATCACATGTACATGTATATAGTGACTACCAAAAAATCATGAAAAAACTTGTGATATCCTAATCTAACTAATACAAGCAGCGTGTATGAACATGTATGAATATGTGTCTGATAATTGATACCACACTCAATCCAAAAAAAGACAATAATGCATCTATGCTTCATTCGAGAAAGAAGAAAACAACTTTTAAATCTATTGTAATTTTTTTTTTAAATTGCTCTCAATGAATATTAGTAACTCTTATTTTGTAATGTACATAGGGATAAAGAGTTGATACTTGTTTCCAAAATTCAAACGCATCGTTTAATAACAGCACGAATAGTAACATTAATTTGAATGGAATAAAGAGATTAAATAGAGTAAATCAATGATGCAGCAATGAGGATGGGAATTATGCCACATTGTCAGACAGACGTAGTGGTCAATGGCCTAAAGTCAGAATGAACACTCATCCCTGTGTGTGGATACATTCCATAAAATTGACTGTGCTCTCTAGACATTGATTTACGAAAATTAACATTTTTCTTCGATTCACCATTTCCCCCTACTTTCATATATCAAAATTCAATATTGGAAACAAACACATTTTTAACTTGCAGTGAACCCCCGACACAAAAGAACAGGATTACCTTCTCCGATGCATGGTACGGAGTACTCCTCCAGCAAGAACTCCATTTGTTGAAGAGTCATGGTAAAAAAAAAAACGATGTCTTTTCGGCCAATATTTTCCTCAAATGTGTCAAAAATAGGGTGGTGTGGCTTTGATATGGAAACAATATGGAAAAAGGCTTTTATATTCGCCAAGGACGATAAAATGTTAGTCAATACAGAAGCATACACCTGTTTACACTAACTATTTCTCCCACGATACAGCAAGATTATACATGTTACAAGGCCAGTATTTGAAATAGCATTAGTTTGACTGAATAGAAAGATGGCCACCGAACATGTGTGATCCATACATATGGTAATTATCTGCATAAGGGCTTTATCAATTTTATATTGATTCTCTGGCAAAGGCAAGGCAAGCTGATTGATGAATGGATCATTACGTTGTTTTTTTTCATTTTTTATGCATCAGTAAATATTGTCAGATGGTTTATTTTAAACTTCTACTCATTTATTCCCTCGATGTTTGTTGGCGAATAATTATGTTTTTAAGCGGTGAAATATTAGAATTTACACTGCATTGAGAATATACCATAAAAAAAAATACTAGTAGCCATACAAAAATGTATTGAAAATTACCAGATAACTAAGGGGCATATCCTTAATCGTCTCCCTAGGCCAATCAAATATAAGATACAATTCAATAGATCGTTCAATAGATTCTGTTCACTGAGAGATCCAGCGTTATGCACAAACTCGAACATAAATACAGTACAAACAGAAGTCAAGCATCATAGTGGCATCAAAAAAACATTGCTGGGATTCAATAAACGCAAAACTAATTTTGTGTATTTGCACAGTTAATAATGTGCTATACACATTTGATGGTGGCCAATTTCAATGAAGTAAACATATATCAATGCCATAATCCTCTCTGAAAGACAAGAATTTCAACAATGAACTATAAAGAGAAAATCAAGTTCAAAACCAAATCATTCGATTTTGGCGACAGACATTAAAAAAGTGTCTTTCATACGCGAGATGTTGCAGTGAACACATAATCACCTATTGCATATCTTGCAATGTCTCAAACCTTGACTATGTTATCACATGGAGGTCACAGCCAAGCTTAGATCAAAGGTACCAGAATAATTGCTGCTGTTTGTACATAGATCAGAGAGTTTATTTGGCAAATGGACCAAGAAGGACAGTTTCCCCTCACTGCGGTTAGGATTACCATGCATTATTAGCATATTACAGACACGTACTTTAGCAGCACTCGGTGATTTTCGTGATAATTCGAGTCAAAATCTTATGAACAAATATGGCAATAACGCCCATGAATTTGACTACAATGCTGAAACTGCTATTTCCTTAAATTCAGAAGACATAAACGAGATGAAGAGCATATGACAGGCGAAGAATTGTTTTGCAAATGCTGTGAACGAAACAATTGCTCGAAAACAAAAATGCAGCGAATTTCTTGTACATTGTGTATAAAGAAAATTGACACACTGCCACAGGAAGTAGCACATACACATGAGGTATAAACTTTTTCATTTCAATTTTCATTTCTAACCTCAAAATTCAGTTTCTGCTACAGTGCGATGGGGCTCATCTCATGCACCATTGCAAAGATCATTAAACAAGCTTTCTTTTGGACTAAAAAACAGTACTAACAAGATTTAAAAACATTACAATATTGTCAATTTAAAAATACAAACAAAAAATTACAATAACTTAACCAAAATTTTTTTTGATTTTCAAAATTGCAACTTTCCCATACTCACAAACACGATTCTGGTAAGTACACAAGATCTGCACATGCTTTATGGCCTTTGGCATTTACGACAACACCGTGAAACAAGACATTGGAGTGTGTACTCACGGTTACTAAAAGAGACGGTTAGGAAACGCTATTGTTAAAAGGTGTGAATCTGCCTAATCCCTCAAGGATGCGTGTCGCGCTATTGCTTGAGATTTCAAGGCCCACCATTTTGTTTCATTTTTGTGTCGATCACTTGATGTCCCCCAAATTTTAAATTTTCAGCCAGTTTTCGATATAATATCCACATTTAGTGCACAAGCTCTACGAAAAACTACACGTACATTTCGGATGAGTACTCTTTGTGACTGATAACATACAGAATCGAGAATCGTCATTTATCGTTTTCACTGTTGTCATGAAAGTAAGCTTGGGTCCCGAACGAAAAAGTGACGAAAATTCTAACCCTCCCAAGTCAATATTTTAAAATACATTATATTATAAAAAATACTAACAAATGAATTTTTAGTATACCACTGTGCATACTTATGATGGTTGTATGCGATTTGGGGGCTTATTAGAGTAAATTTTATAGTTTTGCTTTCGCGTCACTGTATCCGCCATTTTGTTTGTTTTTTGTAGACGCCGTAGAAATCGTTGAAAAGGTATTCAACTTTCTAGCAGTCTATTCGCCAAATCAATTTTTCGAACCCTTTTTAACCGTTCTTAATTTCATTGGAACTGCCTGTTGTTGCATATTTAGTCTGCTTACATTTTGTAGAGCATGAGCGGGTCATTTCAGTTACCTTATCGTATATTTTCTTTATTTCCAACAAAATGTATGTGGTATCATTGCTCCTCATTAAAACTTTCGCATAGCTGAAATATAAACACTTGTATGGTTTCTTTGACGTCTTTTTTTCTGATCATGTTTTGTTGGTTTTTTTATTTCAGTTTTCTGCCGATCTTGCTCTTTAGAAACGAAAATGCCATACAAGACAGGCAAATGTGTAATGCGTTTAAACTGAGCGACAGGTTTTGTCAGGATTCACTGGAACAACTTACACTTTAGTAACTGAAAGTATCGACACAGACACAATAAAATGGCGTGCAGTTGTTGATTGCAATGAACTCTGGGAAAAATTACGCCATATTTGCGTGATTTCACGTCTACATTTTATGTTAATGAATTATCACAGATTAGTACGTCTTTTGTTTCAAATGTTTACCCGCGACACTCATCCAATAAAAAGAACATGGTTTGTTTCCTAACCGTCTTTTTTTAGTAACCGTGGCGTACTGTACCCAGTAACGCTAGAGAGTAAATGAGACGTCGGCGACGATCCTCATGTGAAAGGATGTTAAAAAAAAGCGGATTATGGGATTAAACCTGACTAAAACAAAAGAAGTTTAGGAGGATTATTTTGGCTGTGACACCTTTTTTTACCTCCACAGTTATCATAATCACCTCTTATGGTGAATTAAAACCATAGTGTGAAAAAGTCATCTTTCTGAATACAAACTTCAATAAAGTGTGTTTGTTCACACTATTTATACAAATTGCAGTTTGATTGGTTGTCAAAGGTGCTGTTTGATTGGACAGTGTACATTAAAGTATAATCTAAAGATAGTAAATCAACATGCTAAGCAAACATTTTACAGCAAATCTCACAAATAGTTGCTATGTTCACACAGCAGCATCCTATCAGAGCCGAACTACTGCTCCTCCCACCGATTAACAGGAGATTATCTCCAACGTGTTTACACGAGAGCTGAGATCTGCCAGAGTTTGATCAGAACAGTGCCCACAAATAATTAGTATGAAAAAACATGGCAGAAAACTGTGTTGTGCTTGTGCTGCTCCTTTACATGGCACGATGATGTTGAACTGGGAGAAAAAAAAGAAACAGTCACGAGACTGAGCATGGAGGTAGAAAAGACAGTGCACCAGTGTTACGATTTAGGTACTAGTATTACGTTATTAAGTTTAACACTTTTTACGGTGATAACAGCCCATTG